TACTTAATGACCTAATAAGAACTTTGCTTTGATGCACTGGAATCAGGGAAAAGGCAATGAAATGGTTCTGAGGACCAAGTCACTCTAGTGGGAGAAGGAATTGAAACTCATATCCCAATGGATGAGGTAGCTGCTGCATGGTGCAGTCGCCAGGGCCTGGTGCCAGCCTTGCTGGCTTTCATCAGGCACTTGAATGGGACCACAGGATCCAAGGAGCCTGAGAGGAGAGTAATGCCTCAGTGGCTACCTTGGCAGGGACTGTCACTATTTTTGGGAAAGTTAGTCAGGTCTTCTCAAGTTGGCATCATCCCTTCCCTCCAGAAAAGTTAACGTTTGTTTCTGAGCTGGCCAGAGTTTAGGACTAATTCTGCCCTTTAGAGACATTCATGGATTGGAAGGAACTCAGCCTTTCCTTAAATGTGTTGCTGCCCTAACTGCAATGCCAGTAGAAGGTCAGCTCATGAAGTCAAGATCTCGTTCAAGGTATTTCCCAACAGCCTAGTAGGATATCTGGCACATAGTAATTGAATGAATGACACACTACTGGATGGAAAGACACTCAGCTGTGAGCTCCTGGGAGTGTGAGTCTAGATTTAAGGTCTCCCTCTCTTTCCAAGAGTACTGACTACTGATGAGGGGTCTGGACCCACGGCTCTGGGAGGCCATGCTGGGGGCCAGACCAGAGGGTATAGACTAGTATCTCCCTTCACTGTCTTGTCTTGGGTTTTGTTCATCTAGGTAAGGAACATAGGCCTGTCCCCTGCTTCTCTTGGTTATGAGCTTCTGGGGTGGCCCCCTTACTGCCCTTTGTACATGGGTTCTCCGGGAACCTGAACTCTGTTCTTCATTCTCACTTAGACAGGCTAGCCTGGAGTAAGCAGGAAGTGACAGCAAATAAAACACTGGGATAGCCCCAGGATAGACTCAGAGAGCTGGGCAGAGGGCGCTTCCTCACTCCCCTGACCTGGCCACATTCCTCTGATAATTTGTCCCTTCCTCCCTCCCACCTAGTTGGCAGCCCCTCTCACTTTCTAGCTCTTCATCTGTTTCAGCATCTTCCTCTTGCACCATACAAGGCCACCTCTGTGCACACACTTCTAGGTATGCATTCCACCTGTTCTACCCTAGCCTTTGGACTGTGAACCTTGAAGCCAGAGGACAAGGGTGGCCGATTTTTTATGTCCATGTTTGTGCCCAGTGTGAAGACTAGAGCATAGTAAATGCTCAGTATATGTTACCCAAATGTATGAGTCCCTCCATTATTCTCTTCTCTTTCATATCTCAAGTCTCTTCCACAGGATCCTTCCCCTTAGCACATGATCATGTTCATATTTCCCACAGTTAAAAACCCTCCTTCCATCTGCATCAAGCCACCAATCCATCACTTTTCTTCACGTTAATACAGTCTTCTTTTAATTTTTAAACATCTAAAAAATTTTTGGATCCTTTTGTAGTTCATAAGCATGACGATTGGGTTTTCATGCACATTTGTGAGATGTGCCTCTCTTCTAGTCCTTGTTACGACATTGGTACGTTACCCGTCTAACATGAAAAGTGTAAAAAATAAATAAATAAAAAATTTTAGAGGTGGGCTCTAGCTCTATCGCCCAGGCCTGAATTCAATGGTGTCATCATAGCTCACTGCAGCCTTGAACTCCTAGGCTCAAGGGGTCCTCCTGCCTCTGCCTCCAAAGTAGGTAGGACTACAGGCACATACCACCACACCTGGCTAATTTTTCTATTTTTGTAGAGAAGGGGTCTCACTATGTTGCTCAGGCTGGTCTCAAACTCCTGGGCTCAAGAGTTCCTCCCTCCCAAAGTGCTGGGATTATATGTGTGAGCCATTGCCCCTGGCCTCCCTTATTATATTCTTGAGAAGTCATTTGTCTGCATCTCCAAGTCCTCATCTCTTGTTCACGTCTAAATCCAGGCCATCTGGCCCAGGATTAACTATTCCACTGAACCAACTCTCCACAGGTCACCAAAGACCTTCATTTCAACCAAATCCAAAAGTTTCTGCTGTGGAGATTAGACAGAACGAATATAAAAAGTATGGCAAATTGTGGATGCTCAAAATGGTAGTTCTTCAGCCTAGAATCTTGTACTCTGCAAAACTAAGTTTCATATATGAAGGAGAAATAAAAACATTCTCAGATAAGCAAGTCTTCACCAAGACAAGACCAGCTCTCCAAGAAGTACTCAAAACAGAATTACACAAGGATCACCACAATAAACACTCACGAATGTAAAACCACTCAAAAGTTAAAGATCAAAGGCTAGATTCCACGACGGCAAAAAAAAAAAAAAAAAAAATGGTAGTTCTTATTTCCCTTAGTTTCCTTAACATTATACTCATTTCTGATTCTTCTTTTTAATCTTTTTTTCTCTCTCTCTCCACTCATCATAAAATTAATGTAATTTTAACTTAGCCTGCTTCTCTAGAAAACCAGAGCTCAGGGCAAAGCTTACATGCTAAGGCTTTAATGGGAGGTACAATCTCAGGACAACAAGAATGAGAGAAACACAGAAATGAGCCAGGGAAGAAAACAAAAGGTGGTGTGCTACACAGCTAGCTATAGCTTTGTAAGTGTTAGATTTGTTCCAGGTGGGAACTTGAAAAGTATGTATGGGACATGGAATGTGGTTAATGGAAAACCCAGGTTTATGAAACAACAGCTTTAGGAGTCTGGAGAGTCCCAGGAGGTTGTAAACCTAACAGACAGCTGCAGATGCCAGCATTCCTATCCCGCTGATAAGGACGGAACTACCTCCCTCCCCGCCCTTATCTCTACAGGCTGAGACTGACCCAGTGGGTCCCAGAAATTGGTTGTTTTAAAAAAATTTTTTATCACAGCTGCTATTTTCGCTCAGGTACTCAGTCCCCCCTAAGAAACCCTCTATAAAACCCAAGGCTTTCGCTTCCCTCAGGGTGGATGCTCTTTGACCTCCATCGGTCTGCACCCGGATGCCCAAAATAAACAGCATTCTGCTACCTGTTCTTGGTCTCTCTCTCTCTCTCTCTCTCTAGGAACCTTCTAGGGGAAGGAAGGGAAAACTATCTTTTGGCTCTTTCCTTCTCTTTCTCATTTGTTACTTTCCTTACACCCAATGAGACATTAACTCCCCTGCACTTCCAGGCTGTGTTATCTAGCCTATCTAGGCAGCCTGGGGAGACTGATCCCAATTCTCACAGCAAGTACTTCAGCTTACTCTGGAGGTGGTAGAAATGGCAAGATTCTCTATGGGTCTGGTTAAGTCAGACCTGAATGCCATAGTTGCTGCAGTTCCTGCTATAGCAGGTGCAATAGAGAAGGTATAGAAGTCTGTTCCACATACTCAGAGAAGGGTAAGACAGACTATTGCATTTCTTTCTTTTTTCCACTTAAACCTATGGATGAATATTGCTTATTTTTAGAATGAGACAGGGTTCAGCATCAATTGCATTCTTATTTTTTATTTTTATAGATATAAGCACTGAGATATCTTGTTCACGTAAGTAGGAAAATATAGTTTTGCTAAAGCAATGTCACTCAATTGTTTTGATTCTTTCCAAGTTATATGCCCCAAATCACAAAAACTATCATCCAAAATTATTTATTTTTAATGGTCTCCCAGCGTTTACCAATAGTTTTGAAAACAAAGAATTAGAAACAACTTGCAAGTGTTTATAAATGCAGTCATTACCACTGTTAGGGTGGAAAACCTAGTAGGTGCTCACAGTGCAGGTGGAGAAAGATTTCTCACGCAGAGATTAAGACATAAAAAGTTAAAAGTTTATCTTCTCAGAAGGATAGAGAGAATGAGAGAGTGAAGGGTGGGGGGCAGAAGAGAGCAGGGAGCCAGTGTGGCATCCCAAAGAAAGAGAAGGGAGATGCCAGCAGCTAGGCCAAGTGGCTTGCTGCTTCTATGGGGACAAAGAGAAAAATAGTAATTGTTGTGAATTGCTGTATCTGCTCTTTCTTTTCTTCTTAACTGCAAGCAGATAATGGAATCTGCTGTGTGAAACTGCTGCATCCTTTCCCTTTGCTTTAGGGATAAAGTGACCTTGCCCTCAAGATATGATTTGGGGCTAAATTTGATGTCTGGGGATTGTCCCCCATGCTGTCATCCAGGAACTTCTCAGGAACTACTCCATGCTATAGAAACAGATGCTAAAAAGACAGTTTTCGTCAATAAGTCTAGCCACTGTAAAAAAATTTTACATTTCCTTTTTGTCTGTTGGGTTCTTTTGAGATGTAAAAACAGAGCTCCGCAGGGCACCTGTTGGCTAGGTGGAGAGGGAGGGAGAGAGCTGATTTATTTTACTCACAAGATCCATTGTCCTTTCAACCACTACCAGTATTTCTAAGTCTCTTTGTTTGGTGGCCTCAAGATTTTTACACTGGGGCAGTGCACCCTAGAAGCTGGCCGAGGAGCATGTCTTTTGTAAAATGGGAGGATGATTGTGAAAGAGATAGTATGTTCTCAAACACTAGTTTTAGACAACAGTACACCTTTAAGTTGACAGCTATTGCTCTGAAAACTCTAGGAGGGCTAGGGTTGTGCCTTGCATCTAACAATCCTTATGGGTAGAACTGAGCAAAAACCCTAAAGCTGGAGGAATGAGAGGGCTGGGTTACAGCAATGACTCAGCAGTTCATCAATCTACTAATTGGGGTCCACGGTCCAGATAGAGTAGGGACCAGGAACTTTCTAGCATCTGGAATCTGCAGATCCGAGGTCTTCTCCGTTCTGGTCAACCTTTGTGTGGTCGCTGCTCTCTGGGCCTGTTTCCGGAATTAAACAACGGTGCCAACTTACGCGAACTTTGGGAATCTAGTCAGAATCGTATGGAGAGAAAGCCAAGATTGGGAATCGGTAGCTACGGCAGATATAAAAACCCAAAACGTGGCACGTCTGACCTTACTTCCTCCGGAAGGATCAGAGCAGCGTAGCCCAGGCGCGCGGTGCAATCTGGGCCAGCAAAGCGCGCGGCCCGGCCCCGCCCCGCCCCAAGACATCCACGTGGCCCGCGGCACAAGCCGCGTTGCGCCCGCGAGTTTTCCAAACTCACGCTGTGGAGTGAATGTCCAAGCGCCTGCCTTTCTGGCGTCCACCACCTAGTGGAGGGGAGGGGGCGGTACCGCCTCCCAGCTCGGGCTTCCATCCCCTTCCGCTCCTTCCTGAGGAGGCGGGGGACGGGGGTCCGCCTTGCGCGTGATCCGTGATGCCTGGCCCCTGCCCCTCCTCCTGGGTGGAGCTTCCTCATCACCGCCAGACTTAAGCTGAGGCCCATTGGATCTCTGGCAGGGTGCGGAACTGAGCCCAGCTCACGCTATCGTGCTCACGCTCTGTGCTTTTGCCAAGGTGAGTTTCTCCTGCTGCTGGTCCGTCTTTCTCCCGGAGATAGCCTCGATCCTTTACTGCTGAGGTGTCAGCCTCCGGGATTGAGCGAAGAGCGTGGGCACTGGAGGGGACTAGACGAGGTTTCGGATTTGGGCTCTTTCTTTTGTTCTCTGTATGATATTGTATAACTTCTCAGTTTCTCTGAACCTCAGTTTCCCCAGCGATAAAACGAGTTCCTACATCAGAGCTGTAGCGAGAATTGAGATAAAGCTTTGAGGGCACCCAGCGCATATTACGTGCATTGTAAGTTTTAATTGCCATCTTTTTGTTTGCTTGCCTGCACGATTTTTCCAGGCGCTCCTGCTTTTCTATGCAGGTGCAGCAATGCTTCTCGGAAGTGGCTGGAAGCGGGGCAGAATTCTCTTAATTAAACGCCTGCCATGGGACTGGGAAATCTGGGCATGTTATTCTGTTGCCCCAGAGCTCTGTTAAAGTGTGACTCGGATCTGAACCTTCACCAGATGTGGCTACTATTAATTAAGTCTTCCTTAAGATTGTCCATAGTCAGGGCTGCAGGACCTCCCTGGAAGAGTCTGTTACTTTTCCAAGGTCTGATTCCTCATTCGCAATACAGAAGCAATCTCAGTATGATTCTGTCTGGTCCGCTGGGATTTTTTTGCCAAAGATAGTAAAGTGATTTGGTATTCTCCGGAGATTATTCTTTCCAGATTTCCCAGGAAGTAAAAGAAAAGGTAACAGAGATAGTGACTTGCTCAAGTGTCCCTCCAGCTGACCAAACTCCAGCTGTCAAGATCTCTCCCCCATTAGCCTCTGTGTGTGTGTAGTGTGTACATATCTATGTATGGGACAGGTACTCTAGTAGGAGTGAGAGGTTCAGACACGTGACAGGCCCTGACCTCAAGGAGTAGCCTAGGTTTGTGGGGGAAACTTATGTATAAACAGAAAAATGCTGTGATGTGCACAAGCTATCAGTACGTGGGAGGAGCCAGAAATTTAAAGTGCTAGCTGAAGGATGAGCAGCAGTTAGCCAGGTGTGGGGAAGGAAAGTGTTCAGAGGCCTGGAGTCAAGTAAGTGATGCAACTGTGTTCAAAGTCTGGAACATGGAGTCTGAAATAAGGAGGTGGAGAAATGAGAAAGGTAGAGCCAGGTTTTAAAGGAGCCTGGACTTTGTACTGAGGGAGGGGAGAACTGCTGGAAGAGTTTCAGACTGGGAGTCACATGTCTGGATTTGGTGAATAGATCGTGGGAAAAGGGGCCACACTGGAAGCAGAGATTTGTGGTTTAAGTAAGGGATGATGGTGGTCAGAGTTAGGGCAGTGGCAGTGGAGGTAGATATGGATCTTTCTCTCTGGAGAAAGATTAAGGAAATATTTATTTATTTAAAGATAGGATCTTGCTGTGTCTCCCAGGCTGTAATGCAGTGGTGCAATCATAGCTCTCTAACCTTGAACTCTGGGGCTCAAGTGATTCTCCTGCCTCAGCCTCCCGAGTAACTAGGACTACAGGTACACATTACCATGCCCGGCTAATTTTTTTTTTTTATTTTTTGTAGAGATGGGATTCTCACTATATTGCCCAGGCTGGTGTCAAACTCCTGGGCCAAGTAATCTTCCTCCCTCAGCCTCCCAAAGAGCTGGGATTACAGGTGTGAGCCACTGCACCTGGCCGGAAGTATATATTTTTAAATTCTTCTTTCCACATACATTAATAAGTACATGAAGTATTATTGCAGTCTTAGGTCTTACATTACATTTCTTTCTTTTTTTTTTTTTTTTTTTTTTGAGACAGAGTCTCACTCTGTTGCCCAGGCTAGAGTGCCGTGGCGTCAGCCTAGCTCACAGCAACCTCAAACTCCTGGGCTCAAGCAATCCTTCTGCCTCAGCCTCCCGAGTAGCTGGGACTACAGGCATGTGCCACCATGCCCGGCTAATTTTTTTTTCTGTACATATATATTTTTAGTTGTCCAGATCATTTCTTTCTATTTTTTGTAGAGACGGAGGGTCTCGCTCTTGCTCAGGCTGGCCTTGAACTCCTGACCTTGAACGATCCACCCGCCTCTGCCTCCCAGAGTGCTAGGATTACAGGCGTGAGCCATGGCACCCGGCCTCTTTTTTTTTTTTAATGAAGGGGTGGGAGGTTGTGAGGAGGGGTGTTCAGTTGCCTTTTTTTGTTGTTGTTGAGGCAAAGTCTCACTCTGTCACTGTGGGTAGAGTGCAGTTATTGTAGCTCACTGCAACCACCAACTCCTGGGCCCTAAGTGATCCTTCCGCTTCAGCCTCCCTAGTAGCCACAATGCCCAGCTGTTTTTTTTTTTTTCCTTTCTTTTTGGTAGAGATGGGGTCTCACTCTTGCTCAGACTGTCAAACTCCTGAGCCCAAGCAGTTCTCCTGCCTCAGCCTCCCAGAGTGCTAGGATTATAGACCTGAGCCACCTCCTCTGGCCTTACATTACATTTCAGAGCAAACAGTATCTCTTTCAATATTTACTTACAAGTATTAAAAAGATTTTTTAGGCCAGGCGCGGTGGCTCACGCCTGTAATCCTAGCACTCTGGGAGGCCGAAGCAGGAGTATCCTTTGAGCTCAGGAGTTGGCGACCAGCTTGAGCAAGAGCAAGACCCCGTCTCTACTAAAAATAGAAAGAAATTAGCTGGACAACTAAAAATACATAGAAAAAATTAGGCAGGCATGGTGGCGCATGCCTATAGTCCCAGCTATTTGGGAGGCTGAGGCAGAAGGATCGCTTGAGCCCAGGAGTTTGAGGTTACTGTGAGCTAGGCTGATGCCACAGCACTCTAGCCCAGGCAAGAGAGTGAGACTCTATCTCAAAAAAAAGAAAAAAGAAACCTATGGGTAGAGAGGTCCAGAGGGAGTTGAATATACAGAACTGGGGTGGGAAGAATTAGGGCTTAAGGTGATAACTGAAGATAAGAACTCAACTAGGGAATGGAAAGGATTGAAGACAAAACTCTAAGGGACACCAGCATTTGTGGGAGGCAGAGGAAAGGCCCATGCAGCCAGGAAACACTCATGTAAATAGTGTTTCCTTTTTTTCCTGTGTCTGTATTCAGGCAGCAACTGTAGAGCCCTCCTCTGAGAAGGAAAGAACGAATACCAGAGAGAAGGAACCTTCCTGCTGAGTTGGGAATAATAAAACCTGAGTCCTGACACTACCATCTTCCCCTATATTCTCCCGCCACAGCTTCTCTCTTTTAAACTTGAAGATAATTTGAGGGTTTCTGAATGCTGCCTGAGGTCCCATTAGGCAGTTCCTGACTCACCTAGAGTCTAGAATCTGTTAATGCAGGGCTAGGTTGAAAAGCTGTTGCCTCAGGCAGAAGATGAAGTCAAGAGCTGACTGAGGATGACTTTCTGTCCCAGAGAAAAACATCTGTGTGGCCCCTCTATTCTCCCCTTGGGAGCTCTTATTCTTTGCAGAACTTCCTACTCTTTGATCCTTAGCCCCCAAGCCTCAGCCCTTTTGGTTTTCAGTTACACCGACAAAAGAAAGGGAGAAACAAAATTCAGGTTTCTTCCTTTTCCCCTTAAGCCAGGGTTTTGTTCAAGCTCTCACCCGAGGTGTAATTTCAGAGCCCTCCCCTGTGTGTTGGGAAATCTGGGGGTGACCAACAGGTCATTGGGCATCAAGCCCAGGAAACCTGTCATAGACCCTGATAGCAGCAAGCCACAAGATTCTTCCTGTGAGGCCGGGCACGGTGGCTCACGCCAGTAATCCTAGCACTCTGGGAGGCCGAGGGGGGCAGATTGTTTGAGCTCAGGAGTTCGAGACCAGCCTGAGCAAGAGC